GGATAAAGGTCACTCTTTCGAGGATGCCAATGTTCACATTTTGGACAGAGAGGACAAAGAGGAGTGAAAGAGGCCATCTATTTACACTGCGACCATCCTTGAACAGAGGCGGTGGTTTACGACACCAACTCTCTGCCATCTATAATCCAGTTTTGAGTTCCCTTCCCAGACGCCTTAACGCCCATTCACATTCTGGGCCATCTGACCTCAGGAATTCGCATGATAAGGTGGGGCCAGATGTCTGTGAAGGTTCTCAGTCATCCAGGTCATCGTAGTCAAAGGAGGTGGGGCCAGGTTTCACAATGAGCTCACCCGAAACTCTGGCTGATTGGGACCCACACCCAGTTTCACACCTTGGCTCAGGCGATAAGAGGATCATCAGGGGGTCCTTTTGTCCCTCTGTGGGCGATACTCCCACTGGGTTTAAATCTGGGACGCCCCACCATTTGACCTTAGAACTGAAGAAGCTTCTCGGATGAGAGGTGAAACGTCTTCAAGTAACCTAAAGAAGTCCAGACGCTTTTCTTTGCAAGCTCCTTTGACTATGATGACCTGGATGACTGAGAACCTTCACAGACATTACCAGATAATATTCAGGTTCCGGACTGATATTCTACTCCTAATGATTTGGTGTTATATGTTAATAATAATTGTTTAATAATTGTCGTTTGATTCTCTGGACCCATTATGTTTCCTTCCTGTTTCTGCTCCATGGTTTACCTTGGACTTCCGAGCATTGAAGGCCAAAGTTTGGCAACTAGAGCATACATTAGATATAAGAAATCTGGTTTAACTGTTGATGAAGAAATCTATAAATGTCATGTACTCCAGTATAAAGATTCCAACAACCAGGCTAAACAAAGCTTTTACTCAGGTATTATCAGCTCTTATGAGGACAACACCAAGATCCTGTTTTCACTTCTCAACAAACTTCTTCAGCACCTTCTATTAATCTGAAACCTGTAACTCTTTGATGCTGTTCTTCACTACAAAAATCAGTGTTGGAAAGTAACCTTTCCAACACTGATTGGCTCTGTTGCTGGCTCTGTTGTGCTGGCTTCGGGTACATTGTGTAACTGACGCCAACAACATGCTTACATTAGAACGCTTATTGTGTGTTTAGTTTGGGTTTTCGGCAATGTGTGAAATTACCAAAATTAGAGAGGCGATAGCCTAACATATTAAACAGGAAAAAAGCACCATGTAATTGATTTATTTCAACAAAGTAACTGTAATCTAATTATCACCTTTTAAATGGTAACTGTAATGGAATATAGTTACTTATATTTTGTATTTTTATTTTAATGCTGGTACATGTGTTCCGTTACTCCCCAGCACTGACAAAAATGAATAACAATTACCAGCAACTCAGTTTGAATGTCGTGTCTATCCCTTCTTCAGAGCCTTTTCTCCATTTTGAGTCTCCTGATAAAGCTGATATTTCTGAATTCGTATGTAAATCAAAGCCCGTCGTGCCCATCGTGAAATCTTGCCTCTCCAACTCATCACTTCTATCATTCACTCTCCACTCACCACTGGTATTGTTATTCCCTTATTCAAGATTGCTTCAGTCACTTATATACTGAAAAAAACATTCCTTGGATCCTGACAACTTTAACAACCTCCGCCCGATTTCTAATTTAACATCATCTCTAAAATACTTTCCTAGAAAAAATTGTTGCAGCTCAACTTCATTCACACATGATTAATAATAGTATCTATGAGAGATTTAAATCTGGCTTCTGCTCATGTCACAGTACAGAAACCACTTTACTTAAAGGTTACTAATACTCTTTTACATGTAGTGGACTCTGGTATTCTCAATATTCTTGTCCTTTTGGATCTGAGATCAGCCTTTGACAATATGTCTCACTCTATTCATCTAAGCAGACTTAACTGTCTTGTCATCTCTGACATATCCCTAGCCTGGTTCCAATCATATCTCCTTGACCGCTCCCAGTTTATTCAACTTAAATCGTTCCGCTCTCGTCTATTCCCAGTCACTTCTGGTGCACCCCAAGGTTCAGTCTTAGGCCCTCTTAGGCCCTTATTAATATACATCCTCCCTCTTGGTACCATTTTCCCTAAATTTGAGCTTTACTTACTTACTGTTTTGCTGATGACACCCAATTATATCGCTCCTGCAGGCCTGATTCCTCCCTCCTAACTTCTTCTCTTACAGAATGGTTATCCCAATTAAAATCCTGGTTCAGCTCTAATTTTCTTAAACTCAGTGAGAATAAAAGGGAAATCCTTCATATTGGCACTAAATCCAACCTACTGAAGACAAATCACTTTTACTCATCTCACTCTTTATTGAAAACTCCACAGTTTTCCCTTCACCTCAGGTTAAGAGCCTTGGTGCCATCCTAGACAGCTCACTGTCCTATAAATCTCATATCAAATGATCTCACCCATTCTATCTATTTCCATCTACAGTGGCTTGGCTGCATTTCTGATCAGCGCTCTCCTTGTTCAGCCTGTGAGTTTAGGTGGACGGCCTTGTCTTGGTAGGTTTGGTGCCATACTCTTTCCATTTTTTGAATGATCGCTTGAACAGTGCTCCGTGGGATGTTGAAGGCTTGGGAAATCTTTTTGTAGCCTAAGCCTACTTTAAATTTCTCAATAACCTTATCCCTGACCTGTCTGGTGTGTTCTTTGGACTTCATGGTGTTGTTGCTCCCAATATTCTCTTAGACAACCTCTGAGGCTGTCACAGAGCAGCTGTATTTGTGCTGACATTAGATTACACACAGGTGCACTCTATTTAGTCATTAGCACTCATCAGGCAATGTCTATGGGCAACTGACTGCAATCAGACCAAAGAGGGCTGAATAATTACGCACGCCCCACTTTTCAGTTATTTATTTGTAAAACATGTTTGGAGTCATGTATGATTTTCATTCCACTTCTCAAGTGTACGCCACTTTGTATTGGTCTTTCACGTGGAATTCCAATAAAATTTATTCATGTTTGTGACTGTAATGTGACAAAATGTGGAAAAGTTCAAGGGGCCGAATACTTTTCCAAGCCACTGTATACAACATTAACAGATTACACCCTTCTCTTTCCACACAGTCTGCATCAATTGTTGTTCATAGTCTTGTTACCTCCCGCACTGACTATTGTAATTCTCTCTTGCATGGTCTTCCCCAAACTGGTTCAAAAAGCTGCTGTCCGCATTATTACCAGAACCCCCTCCTAGTAGCACATCACTTCAGGAACTTCACTGGCTCCCTGGGAAATTGCAAATAGTATACAAGCTTCTTCTGCTCACCTTCAAGGCCCTTCATAACCTTGCTCCTCCTTACCTTTCTAACCTTTTAAGCACTGCCTCTTCAGCCGGCTCACTTCTATCTTCTCCTTCTATCCAACTTGCTGTGCCTTCTTTTCACCTCAGCACCATGGGAAGCAGAGCTTTCAGTTGCACTGCTCCCAGGCTTTGCTCCCAGTTTAAATCTCAACTCAAAACCTGTTTTGTTAAAATCTGCATATTAGCTATGACCTTATAGTTTGTTAACTTAACTTGTTTTTTTTGTTCTTCTTTTTGTCATTGTTCTACGTTGTGCTTTATTTTATCGTTAAGTCTGGGTGGGTGTCTTGAAAGGTGCTTTTAAATAAAATTTAAAATTTATTTTTATTATTATCTGTGAACTCAATAGTCTTTTTTTTAAGTAAGTAAAGACTTACATTTTAATTTCCTTTTAGGTAACTTTGTGTATTTATATTTTTTAGTAGGCTATTTTTGATGTGAAGCACATATTTATCTTGAAAAGTCTTAATAAAATGGCGTGCCATTTCAGTCCACTGTTTTACTGATGCTATCAAGAAAATGTTTTACTATATTGTGGCTTTGAATATTATAAGTGTCCAAGAACATTTTAGTGTGTTTTTTATTTTTTCAATTTTAGCTTTTTCCCCTAAATTAAAAAAATAAGTAGACATCTTTGACATGAATGACGCAAAGTATTGTTTTAAGCTGCTCAAATAAATCAGACAGCAGTTTAATTACGGTTGTAATCCTCTTAAAGAAAATGTCCTGAGGATGTTTTGTTTCCAATAGCTACTGTCTGACTTTTTTACACTCAAGCAATGACCACTGACTCATGTTTATCTAAATGTTACTTTATTTCTAGCTAAATTGAGGTAATGAGCGTAATAAAATTTGTTAGCCTTGTTGCTATTGAGAACATTAACTTTTGAATCTGTTTTCAAAAAGCAACATAACATTTTGACAAGTAACTGTAATTAGCATTTCTCCTGCAGTGTTGCTATCAGTGTGTGAATAGTGGGAGAAGAGGGTTGTATTGACAATCCACCACAATGGGCAGCACATTGAACACATTTTATAAGTGGTCAGAAACTTGTAAATAACTCATGACAGAATAAAGAAACCAAGCACACCATTGTTTTTCTTGTGACATTACCAATAATATTGATGTGTCACGTGGCCCTCTTCCTATTGAAAAAACAAAAGTTGTATTCAAGATGGCCGACTTGTAAATGGCCACCATGGTCACCAGCCATCTTGAGGAGTTTGCCCCCTCACATATACTAATGTGCCACAAACAGGACTTTAATATCACCAACCATCCCCATTTTATTACGGCGTATCCATATAAATGGCCCACCCTGTATAAAGAATAAAGAGAAACAGGAACTCAATAGTGTGAATATTTTAATATAATATCAACATTATATTAAAATATTTTATCAATGGCATGCTTGTGAAAGGCTTGTTAAACAAAGGGGAAAATGTCCTCCAAAGTGTTTATGACGTGATGATTTGTGATGAAGTTTCTTGAGAAGATTGTATTCAGGTCATCCACTTGGTTTAGGAAAGGAAATACGGCATAGATATTTCATAAGCAACACCTCATGTTATAATATGAACTGTCATCTAATCTAATTCGTTTGAGGTTTCTTGGAAGTTAAAACTAATGTCCAGGGATAAACTTCTAATATGTTTTTCTTTCTTTCTCTTTCTTTCTGCCTGCCAGATGCAATGTGGACAGCAAAGTCTCACGAGTGGCATGGCTCAATCGCACCACTATTCTATTTGCAGGGAGTGAAAAGTGGTCTCTGGATCCTCGTGTCATCTTGTTGGAAAACACAGCAGTTACAGAGTACAGCATCAAAATCCAAAATGTTGATGTCCATGATGAAGGGCCCTATGTATGCTCTATACTCACAAACAAGAAACCACAGTCCACAAAAGTGCACCTCATTGTTCAAGGTAAGATGTGGCTACTGCTGCCAGTTCTGTCAGGAACTAGATTTAGCTCCAACAAATATCAAAAGTGTCATACGGGATCAGTGCTATGTGTTTCTTGTGTTTTCAGAGTGGATGTTTATGTTTATTTTCTAAGAAAAATTATTTAATTGTTTCTTTTAGAATTATTTCTATTTTTTTTATTTTCCTTGGGAAAAGTATTGCAGGGTCTTTGAAAAATAATTCACATGATCTTCAAAAAAAATAGTTTAACTTCATGATAGACACTTCCTTGAAATCATAAATTAACGCTGTGTGTTTTCAGACTGCATAATTCAATATGATATGTCAATATAACTTAACTGATGCAGGGAAGCATCCAGGCCATGGTTTTAATCAAACAATGGACAAGCATATTCTTTCACAGACACGGAAGCACAACTCCAAGTTGTACTTTCCTATGGATTTTATCTTTGTTATAACTTTGAATTTGCCACCTCGGGCTCCAAATCATTTCTTTTCTTAACCAAGCTCATCAGAGAACCAATTTTAGCCTCTCTCCATGCTTTAAAGAGGTTGAGGTGATGGATTTGTGCGGCCCCGCCCCTGTCTGACCATACCACTTCATAATTAATGTCTCTTACTTGCCACGTGACCACCAAGAGCCGTTGCTACTTGGTGGGTTGAATAAAGCAAGCAATACAAGCACTTTCCCGTTGAAAACTTCCTGAGATGAGCCTCTCTGTTTTACAGGAGATGCTGACATTCCAGGGACTTGAGCAAATTATTCCATGAGAACTTCCCAGTTTGTGTAGCTTTGCTTTCTGGTCCAGAATGTAGTGAATTTTATTCCTAGCTTGGCTTGAACCTTCATCCCAGTTTTCTTTAGTTAGGTCCAACACCCCCTGTGGCTTCTGGCTGAACAATAACTCAGGTCGAACAACTTTGCGTCGCCGCTGCGCACAGCACAGGCATCATAAGTTTTATCATTTGTGAACGCATCCTCACACACTGCCCCAACAAGTTATTTAACCCCTACAAAACTGTTGTATACCTCCTTGGCACCTTTCCAGTACACTGCACATCCCTCCTGGTCCAGGGGAGGGTTTCAGAGAGCTTGCCACCATGTCACCAAGCTCAAATGATCTCAAACTGGTTTCAATGAGTTCTTAAACTGTCAACAGATCACAATCCAATAAAGGGTATTTGGAATGTGGAACAGGAGATTCACATCATGATTGTGTATCCAAAAAATCCGCAGCAATCCATAATTACAATGTTATTACAAACTGAAATCTCTGCAGAATGTTTTACAGCACTATGTGGTGCCACTAGTACTACTGTCTCATAGCAAAAAGATCCTGGGTTTTAATCCTCTGGCTGGTGCCCTTATGCATGGCATATCACATGTTCTCCCTGGGATTCCTGTGGGTACCCTCTCATCCTCCAACAGTCCAACGACATACATATTAGGTTAGTTTGAAGGTGTGAATGTAAATATGAATGGTTGCTTCTTTTTGTGTTAGTCCTGTTAAAGACTGGCAACCCTTCCAGGGTGTACCTTGTGTCTTGCTCTATGAAAGCTGGGAGAGGCTGTAGATTGCCTGTAATCCTGAATTAAACAATCTTAAGAAAATAGGTACTATGGTTAATATTTAGGTCTAACCATTTTTAATGGCTATTATACACTATTATAATTATAATTTCAATAATTACCTTAATGACATATAATTGTGTACAACACTTAGGAAATGGTTTTACAGAGTGGGTTCCGGTCGAGTGGACGCTGGCGTGCTTGGCTGCTGCTGCTGCTCACTTATTACAATTTTTATTATAATTTTTTCAGTTGCTGATGACAATTTGAATCGAGTGCAACCCTGTTTTGACTTGTTTTTGCAATATTTGCAGGCTTTTATTGCTTGCGCTGCAGCTGTCAACTGGTTATTCGGTCCCTACGTTTGTGTTCACTGCTCGGCCCTGATTAAGATGCGGATCCACAGAGTGTTGGTGTGGCTCATGCTCACCTGGGTTTTTTTATCGATCATTCATCACCCAACGACAGCTCTTCTCTAGTACTCTGCTACGGATCTTTTGCGAATCGGTTTTTGCCTGGCTGTCTCTTCACCTGTGGCTCTATACTTCTACTCGGACATCGCCTTCAAGCCCCGTCGCAGGTATATCCGCCGAGGGCTTTTCAACATCAGTGACACTAACTCACTATTGTCCATCTGGTCACAAACTCGTCATCCTCCCCGCAAGACTGACTGGGCTGTTGACCACAATGGGTGGTCGATCGTGGCTCAAGAGTTTTGAGTTCGCCTTGTAATTGGAAGTTTGCCGGTTCGAGCCCCGGCTTGGACAGTCTCGGTCGTTGTGTCCTTGGGCAAGGCACTTCACCCGTTGCCTACTGGTGGGGGGCAGAGGTCTCACGATAATTTACCGGAAGCACTGGAAAGTTCTCCCTGTCTCTGCCCCTCCCTCCCATTCATTTGAATACATAGCACTACAGCTCCCTGGATCTACCCCACCATCATATGTACTGTTTATCGGCCACCTAAGCCAAATAAGGAGATTTTAACTGAATTTTCTGCTCTTCTCACTCATTTCTGTATTTTTTCCAAATCTGATAATTGTTGGTGACTTCAATATTGATATGGACAATGATAAAATCCCTCTTTCCAGAGATTTTACCTCCTGCCTGGAAAGTTTTTGGCTTCTACAGTACATAAAATCCCCTACCCATTCTAAAGGTCATATCCTGGATTTGGTCTGTTGTTCTGGCATTACCCCCACCCATTGTAAAGCCACATTGTTTCCCCAGTCTGATCATATGTATAATTTTTTTGATGCAAACATAATCGCTTCCAAAACCTGTATCTCTCGTAATATTACTTTTAGGAAAATTAGTAATATTAACCCAGCTGGTTTTTCATCTGCCGTCCATGACCTTCCATCTATTCACAGCTCCTCAACCCCTCATGAACTCATTTGCCATTATAATGTCAACCTTCATAACCTTCTTAACATATTTGCTCCCCTTAAACATCGAACTGTCTCATTTTCCCGTTCAGCACCATGGTTTACCCCCGACCTGCGTCATCTTAAAGCTAAAGGACGCCAACTCAAACGTCTATTCAAGAATACCGGACTTATTGTACATAAAGAAATGTACAATGATCATGTTTTGTTCTATAAGGACTGCATTGCCTCAGCCAAATCTGCTTACTACTCTGGTTTAATTAGTTCTAATGAAGGTAACTCCAGGTCTCTCTTTTCATTGTTCAGTAAAATGACAAAACCTCCAGACACATTCCACATGTATTCTGTTGATTTTTGCAACTCTCTTATCTCTTTTTTCACTTGTAAAATCTCAGATATTCACCGTCAACTTAACTCTTTAGGAGCTTCTGGCTCTGAAGTAGACTTCCTGTTTCCCCCACTGTCTTCCTGTCAGTTATTTTCAAGCTTTACTCTTCCCTCCATAACTGATGTATCTAATCTTATTAAAAAATCTAAGTCATCCACCTGTCAACTTGACCCTCTCCCTACTGTGTTAGTTAAAGCCTGTCTTCCCTCGTTAGCACCTCTCATAACCAATATTATTCATTCCTCCCTGAACACTGGAATCATTCCTTCATCTCTGAAAAATGCTTCTGTTATTCCAATTCTCAAAAAGCCTGGTGCAGACCCCAATAACTTTGATAATCTTCGCCCTATATCAAATCTCCCCTTTATTTCAAAAATTCTTGAAAAAGTTGTCGCCTCCCAGCTTCATTAACATCTCAATGACCATAATCTCTATGAACAATTTCAATCTGGTTTCCGCCCCAATCATAGCACAGAAACTGCTCTGTTAAGAATTACCAATGACCTTCTGATGGCAGCTGATTCTGGTCTCCTATCCGTTCTCATCCTTCTTGAGCATAGTGCGGTGTTTGATACCATTTCTCACAATATTCTCCTGAACCGGTTAGCTTCCCTTGGCATTAGTCACACACCCCTTGCCTGGTTCACGTCCTATCTCTCAGACGCACTCAGTTTATTGAAAATTTAAATCCCATTCTTCAAGTCTCTATCCTGTTTCTGCTGGTGTGCCCCAGTGTTCAGTATTAGGGCCTCTTTTATTCATTATTTATATGCTCCCTCTTGGTCATATATTCTGAAAATATAATATAAATTTTCATTGTTATGCCGATGACACCCAGCTCTACATTTCTTCTAAACCCAATTCATCCCTCCCACCTACTTCCCTCTTAGACTGTCTTATTGAGATTAGATCCTGGTTCTCCTCCAATTTTCTCAAACTTAACAGTAATAAAACTGAAGTTTTACTTGTTGGTACACCATCTATCTTAACCAAATCCAACAGTTTTTCCATTAACATTGAAAATTCTCCTACCCTTCCCTCCCCTCAGGTTAAGAGTTTGGGTGTCATACTTGATAATACTCTTTCATCTCAGTCTCACATTAATTACATAACCCGGTCTGCTTACTTCCACTTACGTAATATTAACCGACTCCGCCCCTTCCTTACTCCCCATTCTGCTGCCATCCTTGTCCATAGTCTTACTACATCCCGCATTGATTACTGCAATTCCCCCCTATTTGTTCTCCCTAAAAGGTCCCTTCATAAACTCCAACTTCTTCAAAATTCTGCAGCTTGGGTCATAATTCATACTCCATTAAGAGCTCATATTACCCCAGTTCTTAAGCAGCTTCACTGGTTGCCCATAGAAGCCAGGATAAATTTTAAAATCTTACTTCTTACATACAAGTGTATCCATAAATCATATTTGTGTGACCTGCTCCACATCACCACTGTTTCCCACCCTCTCAGATCATCATCTGCTATTCATCTTACTGTTCCATCCTCACGCCTTATTACTATGGGGAACAGAGCTTTCAGTCGCTCTGGAACTCTCTTCCTCCAGCCATAAGAAATATTGACTCCCTTTCCGTATTTAAGACACAGCTCAAAACACATCTGTTTAAACTGGTTTATTCGCTTTAGTGCTGATTTTATC